ACAATCAGAACTCAAAATATGATAACCACTTCGATGTTTTTTCTCGAGGAGAAAATTGGTTTGTTCCAAAGTTCATTGCCCGTTCTAGTACTTAGCCACTGGATCTCTGTTCTTGTTACCCTGTCGTACCACCCCAATGTCAGTAAGTTTGACCCCGCCAAAAATAATTAAACTTTTGCTAAGGAAGTATTTCGATTTGAAGGCAATTTCGAATCGTCTTTTAAAATTTTTCTTCATATCTTCCGTTTTTAAAGTCGCATCTTAAAGTATGATATAACTATTTGTTGTTTTGAGGAGACTATATTTTTGTTCCAAACTTCATTAGCCTCAAGTACTCCGTTCTAGTACTTACCCATCACATCTCAGTTCTTGTCACGCTACTGTATCACCCTAATGTCACTAAATTGAAGCTCACCAAATATCAATAAACTTTTGCTAAGGAAGTATTTCGATTGTTGCAATAAAAGTATTTAAAAAAAAATTTAACGAATGTACATAGGTGTCACCGAAAAAGTAAAAATGAAACCCCTAGGCTCTACAAAAAAGATAAAAAATTTTTGAATTGCCTTGCAAAAATGCTTTAGACTTAGGAGTGTACGGCGAACTATTTTGTTTGCTTGTAAGCTGGTACGGTGTCTAATGTGCATATATGTATGTATGTATGTATGTATGTGTGAATGTATTTTGTCTTCCCAACATATTCAAAGTTAAAATCTTACAAGCAGTGAACGTCCCTCTGAAGTTAACTATTTCTTCCAATGAGATCGCATAAATTCGAAGTAAAACAATATCGTCACTATACACGAATAAGGGCGCGCTAGTGTTTTGAAGGCGAAAAAAGACGCTTAACAAAAAATTAGGTGAAGAAAGACGCGCAAACATAGATTTGTACCTGGCCAAGGACTGTCACTTCAGCATTATTCCCCAAAAACTCTTTAGGAAATTTACATACTGTTACACCCGCAAACATAGTTGACCGCGAAAATAAGTTTACGCATCTTTCTTCGCCGTCAAATATTTTCACGCGTCTTTCCTAGCCGTCAACTATGTTAAGAGTCTTTCTTCGCAGACTTTTTTAATGCGCCTTTTTTCGCGGTCAACTTTTGAACTCGCGCCTTTATTCATGTCTAGTGACGATATGTATGTAAATAAGTTAATAGGTTCTTTGTATCCACAGTATCACCGATACGAGTAAGTGCCAAAAATTATCACCGGCTTACATGTCCTTTTCATATACTACATATGTACATACATTCAAATAACAACGTAAGGCACACAATTTTATGATGTGTCATTTGAACTGTTGCGCTTTGCAGAAGTGGAAATCATAAGCACGGCCAGCAACTGTTGCTGCAAGGCAATCTTCAGACCCAAGGGTATTTTTTGTTGTCATGTCTTAAACAAAAGTCATCTATATGAGTATGTGTGCGTAAAAGGAAGGAAAAATCAGCGCAAACTTACGCTTGCAACAACGCATAGACGGCATAATCCAGTTGCCAACACAAGAACACCCACACTTACGCTCTTCAATATCAAGTATCTATGTGTGATTGTTTGTTTGTTTCGCTGCGGCAGTTGGCAGCAGGCTGTCGTTGTCTGTTGCAACAAGCGATTTGTTGCACGCCGCAAGGATAATCACACTTTTAATCGTGATTTAAGTTTATTGCAAGCAAGCAAGCAAGCAAGACTTGCCACAAGCCAGGCACCCGAACGAGTGAATGTATATGTATTCTTACGCGCCTTGTTGCAACAAGATACGCTGGTTTGTGTGTGCTCTTGTGTTTGTCATAGTTTTTTTATTTTGTCTGCATCGTCTTAACCTTTTTCGCTCGCTGCTTTCTCAGCTTGACTTTATCGTTGCCTTTTGCTGCTTTAAGTATTGCCGACAGCCTCTTCGCTGTGTGCCGTTATACTTTGTCTACCATGTGTTACGTGCTGCCACACTGCTTGTTAAATTGTGTGCCGCACTGCACTGACTCTCTTATACACAGTTTATCCTTGCATCCTACTGCACCTCCGACACCTCTTTATCTGCCTGCGCCTCGTTTGGTATTTATGTTGAAATTTTTATTTCACTGTTGCTCCTCAGCGTCTTCAAAGTCGCTCACTGGCAGCATCAGCGTCATCATCACCGCTGCTGTTGGCTGCTACAGTTTGCTGCCACAGCTGAAACTGCCACAATGGGGCAATTGCACTTGGCCACATTTTATAGTCAATCTCTTCGTTTCTCGCCTTCGTTATTTTTGTCTGTCGTGGCGCACTGGACCCCAGTGGTGTGATTTGTTGTGAATGCCACTGCCGGCTGGCTACTTGGCTGCCTAGCTGTATGGCTTAGTTGCTACAGTTTTCTTTTTTGCTTGCAACGTTGATTGCCGTTGTTACTAATGCTTCTTAAGCGTTGCCCTACCTGGATGGCCCACAGGATTGTTACTCTTATTGTCCACTTTCCTTATCATTTATTACTTTTTATTGCTGCCCTTTCTAATATAGCCGACGCTAAAATATGTCAAGAACAGCAAATTATGGCGTCGGACTATTTTCTAAGGAGGGAATGTTTTTAATCTGAGCACTCCTGCTATCCTTTCCATTTAATTACGTTATGATTCATAGTCTAATTTAATTTGTTATCAAAGTAGCGCATATTTCAATCTCATTTTGCAGTTAGAAGGTGGTGATTGCTAGTTATTTCTTTACCACAGACTGTCTATTTTTTTAGATTATCAAGTCTAAAAATTTGTCGCATAAAAATAAGAAAACAAATTAAATCTTTCCTCATTATAGAGCATTTTTTCAACATAGTACTTACATACTTAATTTTGTATCTCTTCCTTAGCGTTTAGGTATGTAAATTAAATTTTTTCCCCAATTTTATAGTTTTTTTCTTACTTAGGGAGAGTTTTTTTTTTGGTTTCTTTAGTGATTTTTGCGAGACATTTGGGAATTTACGTTCTTTTTTGAGAACTCATCGGAAATATTTAGGGATTATTCCAATTTTTTTTACCTTACCGAACTTCGCACAACCTGTTGGGACCTATTGCAGCTTTTCGAGCATTTTTCGCAACTCTTAGAAGTATCTTAGAAATTTCCGAATGTTATTAATTCTTTCGGGAGTTAATTGAGACTTTCAAGGATTTTTGTGAGACCTTTTCTTTTTGAAGTTTCGAACATACGTTATTTAATTTCGGGCCTTTGCTTGATTTTTTTTTATGTTTTTTATGCCAGCTCGACTTTTTGGGACTTTTAGAATTTTAGAGAACTTTTCGGAGATTTACTGAATCTTTTCGGAATTCGTCAAAGTATTTTGGAACATTTCTAATTTTTTCGAATTTCTCAAAATTTTTTGGGTTGTTGGGAATTTAGTCGGACCTTCATATTTATATATATCTTTTTTTTAATTTCGGGACTTTGTCGAGATACTCTGGATTTTTTTGGAGTTTTTAAGCAACTCCGACTTTTTGAGACTTTTCGAATTTTTCGGGCGCTTTTTGGAGGTTTACCGTCAAAGGAGATTCGGAATTCGTCAAAGTATTTTGGAACATATCTAATTGTCTGAGACTTTTGGGAACTTTTATTGATTCCTAGGAACTTCTGGAACTTCTCGGAGTAGTTACGGTGCTTTTTCAGAATTCTTCGGTAATTTTTGAAATACTTTGTATTTTTTAACGTGTCCATTAACTGTTCAATACTTTGCTCTAGTGACTTTTGTAGAAAAAAAAGTTTGAAGAATTTCGAACTACTCTAACCTAATAGCATTATTTTTATCCGCTTCTTTTTGATTGTCACCCCTTTCACTTTTCGCCAATATTTTTACTGAAAGCACCTTCTGAGTTTTGTTTGAAAGTTGGATTGCCTTCAACTAAGAAAGTTTTGAGACTTTCCTGAATTCGTCGGACATATTTGGGACTTTTAGATTTTTTTTGGCCTTTTTTTTGGTGTTGTAAAGCTTTAAGGACTTTTTTGGAGTTGTGTTTCGGTTTTGTTACATAATGTTAGAACTTCATTGTCAATGTTTACCACAATTGCATTTTCGTTTCCACATACATAGTTAGATAAGTATAATTCAACGGTCAAGCATGTCCCACCCGTGACAGCTACGGGTGGTACAGTTGCTAGAGGTTGATTTACAGGGCTGATAAGCTTTATTTGTTTGTTGAGGTGGACGCAGGGGTGAAGGGCGGAAGCGCGAGTTCGCCCATTACCTATATACCCTTGTGATCAGCTGATTAAGTTAAGTGACAATTTGACCAGTTTTGTTTTTTTCTTTTGTTTATTTAATGTTCATAGTTTTTTTATAAGAGCCTAGCGCATTACATAACCAGAACCACATAAATCCACATTTCAAACTTCGAACAAAAATCATAAACTTCAACAAATTTTAACAGTTACAGCCAAACATTTTAAACTATTTGTTCATAATTTTTAGAAAAATTCTAGGTATGCAGTTGCATAGCGTACTGAATTTAAATGGAAAAATATACGATTCAAGACGCTAGGAGATCACGTTGATTTTTAGTATTTTTTCGGCTGACGGTGCTCCTTTTCATATAAAAATTCGTACGTGTCCCACCTGTGGCAAATGTTGTTTCACCCGTGACAGAGGAATTTCGGATTTTTTTTAAATAATAAAGCCATTCTTTTGGTGGTAGTTTTTGCTTTGTTTGCATTCGTGCTTCTTTGTTTTATTATAAGACATCAAGCTCACACAAAAAAGTGAAATAAATTCGCAGAGTTTTCGTAAAATATATCTGCTCCGTGCGTCCGCGTGACAGAAGAAATAACTCAGATTTTTTCCGCATAATAGTAAGCTAGCATTTTTTTCGTATTTTGTAATTACTCACATAATAGTCAATTAGGTGTAGCTTTATCAAAATGTAGAATTGTTCAGCACCTTATACTTAAATTTAAACAAGAAAGAACAATTTTTTCAGTTCAAATAAAATATCCCACCCGTGACGCTGGAATCGCTCATATGTTTTTTTCAAGCAAGAATTATATATTTTTTAGTTATAAAGCCAAAACATTCCGTTCCTACCTTTATTATGGCAGGTGAAAGTGTCTGCTTCCAAGACGTTACTTAGTTGCTGTTGTTGTTGCTGTTGTAGTTGAAATTGTTGCTGATGTTGCTGTAGCTGTTGTTGTTGCTGTAGTTGAAGTTCACTCGAGGCTGTTGGTGGGTAATCGTACTGATTGGCGCCACTATTTCCAACACCACTAACAACACCGCTGGCGATAGACTTGTACAACAATTGTTGTTGTTGTTGTTGCTGCAAGCGATGTGTTTGTTGTTGTTGTTGGGTAGGTGCGGAAGTTGGTGCTGGCGGTGGCGTATAAGGATTATTGTAAATATTACGCACGTCACTTTGGTTTTGCTGTTGCGATAATTGTTGTTGTTGCTGTTGTGCATGCGTATTAAAACCATTCACCGTGAAATGACGCGATTTACCTACAATAGAGAAAAAGAAAAAATTAAAGGACTTTAATTTGCTTTTGTGAGTATCTGTTTTTGTGAATATTTTATCAAAAATACACCTAAGGAGCAATTATGCTTACATACATGTGTATGTATACATACTTTCTCTTTAAATTGCAAGATAAAAGCGGCAGAATTTTTACAAAAAATTCTTTCGTACAACCTTTCGAACGACCCGCTCTAATGTATTAACATAAATGCAAGCATTACATTTGTCGGTACGTATCGATATGGTTTCCTGTACTATAGAGAGCCCCTTTAAGTTTCAAAAGTGGTTAGCAGCGCATTTTGTTCCTTTTTAGTAGACTTTATATTAGGGTGGTCCAAAAAAAACTTTTAAATGTTAATCTCTCAATACTCGTTCTCTAATGTGTCACATGAATGTTTATGTGTATGAGCGAAATCACCTACTGAATGAACTAACGAGCGAATTAATGAATTATGCAAAATTTTATGTGGATATTCATAATGAAATAAAATAAAAGAGGGTTATTCGGAAATGACGATGTGGAAGCTGCTATAATAAAGCTGTAAATGTATCCTTTTTTGGACAAACAAACCGAAGTGAAGCAGAGAGAGCGCAGCACAAAAGTAAAATCATGCAAATCTGCCTTGTAAAGTCACCCAACCAACAATCAACTCATCAACGCCGTGCCAGAAGTTTTTTGCCATCACCACCGACGCACAGCTGCTTTTTATTATTCGTTAAAACTCACACCTAACATGCCAGTAAAAAATTATAAATATAGTAGATATGTGGTAAGTTTGTTATCAGCATTTGGGTGCCTTTTGTTGTTTTTGCATATTAATTATGCTGATGCGATAGACAAAAGTTTATTTTCGAGTTGGAGAAGTTAGCTATGCAAAGTTATGCATATGAGTGAGTATGTGCTCAAATGTGGCCATGTATGTACATATGTGAAGTTATGTTAGCGGTCATGTTGGGCGTGAAGCATTAACACATTGTTTGAATTTTTAATTTGCCGCTAAGCAGAAAATATTTAACGCACTCTCACGCAAGCGCGGTAAATGTTGACTTCTTTCTTTAGCCAACGAAAGGTGACAGTCAAAGCTTGATTATGGCAACTTAACTTAACTTAACGGAACGCAGAACTTAGAGAATCAAAATGAAACAGATTTCGACGTGGCATTAAGTTACGTTAAGTTTCGGCTGTTCAATTATAAGCAACATCCATTTAACAGAATTTTTAAATGAGAGCCGTAAGTTACTTTAAGTTGCCATAATCAGACCATAAGGCGGTGTTAGCTAGAGATATATATATATATGCAGGCGTGTGCGTTGAATGATTCTATCATGATTTGCGGTTTATATGCTGACTTAATTGAAAAAGGTGTTTCCGATTCTTAGAAAAAAGTTTGGTGTTGCATTTTGAAAGCTCAATTTAATTAGCTTAGTGAAAGTAAAAAATGTTTGGAGAGGAGGCTGTTAATAATCGCCTAAATATGGAATCTAATTATAATTTCATGCATTTTGTTAACTCATCGCTTTATTGGTTTTAATGGAAAACTTTAAATGCCCCTAGGACTATCAATATATCGTCGTTTAAAGTACAAAACCGCGTATCAAGATAATGCAAAAATTTTGAAAAAAATCAGCGTTTTACATTTCCCGGTGACACCTCCAATCGGCAATAAACACTTTTTTAATTAAATAGTTCTACATATAGGAATAATCGAAATACTTTGTTAGCACAATTTTAATGATTTTTGACAAGCTTCAATGTACTGACATTAGGGTGGTACGTTAGGGTGATAAAAACATAAATCAACTTTATAGCACGGGTTACTTAAGGTCAATGAACATTGGAGCAAAAACAAAGTATCGTCAAGGCAACAAATCGATATATCATACTTTAATATCCGACTAGTATAACTGCTGAAATTGTCTTCGCATCGGAATACTTCCTTCACAAATGTGTAATTATTTTTGGCGAAGTTCAACTTACTGACATTAGGGTGGTCATTGGGGTTATAAGAAAAGAGATCTGGTGGCTAAGTAGAACGGAGTACTTGAGGCCAATAAATTTTGGAACAAAAAAAAATGTTCTGCTTGAGACAAGAACATCGATATATCATAATTTAAGATCGGACTGTAAATGCCGTAGGTATGAGGAAATATTAAAAAAAAAATGGAAATGCTTACCAAATTTTTTGCGATCAACTTTTCCTTTCATCGAGAGCTCACTTTGTGAACACTTTTCTTAAGCCATATTACGGAATTTTTTAAAACTTATGACTGCAGTGTTGAATTTATATTGGGTACAAAACTTTGCCCATTTTAACTCTTGAAGAAAAAGCTTTATTGTTGGTCCGAACTAACGCAACAACACGTGCAGGAAACAAGACTTAGGTCATACCATAGCCGACTTGCGGAGGTGGGACCGGATCTCAAAAATTCGCCTGCCGTATCGTCTTCATCGAGACAGGAAATAAAATCATGTATGCCAACCGCATCCATAGGATTGCACCTCAAGAAGCCTTCTTCTTCTTCTTATTTGGCGCTGTAACCGCCTAAGTGATTTTGGCCGTGTAATAAGCGCTCTTTGTCCTTTGATATGCTTATTTAAAACAAGTGATATTTTTACTGGTTGATGAATGTACAGCTTTATTTTAATACCATTCTTTTAGGTTGCCGGATGTACAGTGCTAGTGTGTGTATGGCTGAAGATCAACTGAACTCTTTTAATACATAAATACTAGTATTAGTATATGATGGATATGCAATAATAATTCTTGGTTTACATATGCAATAATCATAATGCTAGGTTCACATATGCAATAATAATAATACTAGGTTTACACTGCTAGATATGAACGTTGCGCACCTACTTAAATTTTGCAAAGCTAACTTATTTATTACAGGCCGAGTTCAGCAAAGTACGCCAGTCGTTTCTCTTCTGTGCCAACTGACGCCAATTGGAAACTCCAAGTGAAGCCAAGTCGTTCTCCACCTGATCTTTCTATCACAGTTGGGGCCTCCCTCTTCCTCTGCTACCACCAACGGGTTCCGAGTTGAATACTTTCAGGGCTGGAGCGTCGGTGTCCATTCCAACGACATGGCCAAGCCAGCGGAGCCGCTGTATTTTAATTCGCTGCATTATATCCATGTCGTTGTAAAGCTCATACAGCTCATCGTTCCATCGTCTGCGGTACTCGACGTCGCCAACGCGTAATGGCCCATAAACATTCCACAAAATATTTCTATCGAACACTCCAAGAGCCGCCTCAACGGATGTTGTCATTGTCTATGCTTCTGCGCCATATACCAGCACGAGTGATGAGTGACTTATAGAGCGTGGTTTTCGTACGTCGGGAGAGGACTTTACTCCTGAATTGCCTACTCAGTCCAAAGTAGCACTTGTTGGCCAGACTCTGCTTGCTCGAAATTGTAACTGTCAACAGTGACGTGGGTTCCAAGGCGCGAATGTGCTGACTGTTTGTTTGATGACAGGAGATACTTCGTCTTGTCCTCGCTTTGCTTCCCTATCCAACTTGGAAAAGGCAGAACAGACTTCGCGGTTTTTGTTGCCGATGATGTCGATGTCATCGGCATAAGCCAGCAATCGCACGCTCTTGTAGTAAATTGTTCCTGAGCGGTTCAGTTCTGCAGCTCTTATTATCTTCTCCAACATCATATTAAAAAAGTCACATAAAAGGGAGTCGCCCTGTCTGAAACCCCGTTTGGTGGCGAACGGCTCGGAGAGGTCTTTCCCAATTCTGACGGAACTGGTGGTATTGCTCAACGTCATTTTACAAAGCCGTATAAGTTTTGAGGGGATGCCAAATTCATACATAGCGGCGTATAGGCAACTCCTTTTAGTGCTGTCAAAAGCGGCTTTAAAGTCGACAAATAGGTGCTGAGTGTCGATCCTTTTCTCGCGGGTCTTTTCCAAGATTTGGCGTATTGTGAATACCTGCCAGGTCTAAAGCCACACTGATAAGGCCCAATCACTCTTTCACACAATACGCTCGATAAGACCTTGTAACCTATGCTTAGAAGGCTGATCCCGCGGTAGTTGGCGCGAATGGCGGAGTCACCTTTCTTGTGGATTGAGCAGAGCACACTTAAATTCCAGTCGTCGAGCATGCGTTCATCTGACCATATTCTGACCAAGAGTTGATGCATGCACTTTAGCAACTCCTCGCCGCCGTACTTGAATAGCTCAGCTGGCATGCTGTCAGCTCCAGCAGCTTTGTTGTTTTTCAGCCGCATTATTGATGTTCGTACCTCATCATATTCAGGCGGTGGAACATCGACTCCATCATCTTCCACTGGGGGCTCGGGTTCTTCTTCTCCACAACTTTCCGTGCTGCTACCATTTAGTAGGGCGGAAAAGTGTTCCCTCCACAATTAAAGTACGCTCTGAACATTGGTTATTAGGTCGCCATTGTTGTTCTTACTGGAGTACGCCCTGGTCTTGAAACCTTCCGTAAGTCGCCTTGCTCTTCGGTAAAATTTTCGGGCATAATTCCTGTCGTCCACCATTCCAAGTAGGGATGTTGCGAATGTGAAATTTTAGACATCCGCGGATGCGAATCAAGTATTTTTAAGAAATAACCAGGTAAGTAAACTAAGTTATTTAGGTAAATAAAAAAATTTTAAAGTTAGTAATTTTTAATAATGTTTATTTTATTTAGTACTTGAATTTAAAAATTGAAAATCCTATTTAATAAAAAGTAATGAGAATTGCTTCGGGGCTGCAAATGTCGGATGTATCTTCCTGAATTTCATGTTCACTTGAAGAATCTAGCATAATGGTGAGATCGTTGTTTAAACAGCGCTTACAAACCAAACCAGATGTGTCATCTTTTTCTGAAGCTTTTTAAAAAGAATACTTCATTTTCATTCCTTTAGCGGTTTCAGAATTTCGAGAACTTGTAACGTGATCAGCGTTTTTCGATTTTAGTTTTTGTAATTCATTTTTAATGGTTTCTTCTGCGACTGGTTTGAA